CACAACATAAAAAATATAAATTTGTTTTGATTTATAAGTAAATCAAATGATAAACTTAGTAGTCTAGACTTAAGTAACATGCAGACACTAACTATGTAGATACTAAAAATAAGTGATTGATTCAAATTCACCATTTTTTCTCTTTTTTATACTATGAAAATTATGACGTTAAAATATGTGTAATTACTAGCATAGCAAATCTGTAATTTAAATATTTGCAATGTAATTAGTTTTTGCAAATTAATGTTCGTAACTTTATATCGCATACTGTTCGGGTTGGTTAAACAAATTTGAGCAGTCAAATAAATTTCAGATTTTATTTTCAATATTTCTGCGAAAGTGATAACAGCTAATTTTTATATACTTAATACATAGACTCATAATGCAAAAAATTTAAAATTTTAGAAATCTGAAAAATGAAGCTCTTGTAGTTTTTAATTTTCCAGCAATTTACATGAGGACCTCCTGAGATTCGCTTTAACAAATTGAACTATCGTAAATGCATTTAATTTTGCTCTAGAGAACTGCATCAAATTTATGCTAAATAAAAAGTATCAACTATTTAAGGAAATGTTTATTATTACTGTAAATTTACAATATTGCCAATAAAGTCATTAAAATTTTTATAATTTGCCATACCACCTGTACATAATATACCTGTACACAAATTAATGTAAATATCAAATGACTCTTTATAATAGTCAACTTTGAAATATATCAAATTGACAATAATAAATTTGTTACACCAAAATACAAGATTACAATTTTTTTTGCTTCAAAGATCACATTTTTTGTAGTTTCAGTGAAACTTTATTGTACAACAGTCTGGAAATTGCAATGAATTTAATAATCTAATTCAAATAATATTGCACAATAAAGCTGCAATTAAAACTGTATGTAACGCGAATTTTGTCTGTACTATAAATGGGAGTAAATTCTTATAATATTTTTTTTTGTATTATATTCAGGGGAGTTTATTATTGTACATAATGATTGTTAACTCATATTATTTGATAATTTCTTAAACAAATTATGACTCATTTAATTTAATTTATATCCCATATGAGATATGTATTATAAATGCTTATACATACATACGTTGTTAACAAAAAAAATTAATTATTATTCTGCGAAAAAAGATAATAAAATTAAAAACTAAAAGAGACTTTATTAAATTCTATTGCAAAAAAAGTACAAATAAATTGGTTACAACCAACGCATTTTGAACATTAAATTTTCATTTTATTTAGCATATGAGCAATAGCAATCAGAGAATATGCTTGAATAAATATGTGCTAAATTGCAACATTTTATTCTCTAACTTCATATCTCAAAAATAAATCTAGATTAATCGGTGAACAATTGCTTAATATGAATGCAATAGAAAAACAAAATTAAAATTGTAAGACTACGAAAACACACAAAAAAAAATAAAATAAAATCTAGTATTTTAACCACGCATTTTATCATTTCAAAAACTTTTCAATTTTAAACATCAACAATATTCTTTTCTATGTAGATTTTTAATTTGACTGCTTTAGTTATATTCACTTTTCTAATAACTGTGAGATTTTGTCATTTTTAATTTCCATAGACAATAAAATAATATCAAATATTTCGTATACGGTATAACACATTTGCACATTATGTTTATAATGGTGTAAAATGAATATAGCAAAAAAAATCAAATATTATTCACAAAAAAGCAAATCTTATTTATTATATTTCGTTGTCACATGTACAAAATACATTGACAAATACGTACATTATTTGTCATATGTAGCGGAATAAGAAATCCCGATCTTGTTCCGCCCCAAAGAAAAATATGGGCTTAGAAATTAAGTATTTTTAAAAAAATCCTGCTTGAAACATTATAATTTAATTCAAGCCGCAATTACAGCCACCTTCTAATAATTGAAATTCTATGTAAAATTATTTTTTGAAGTGCGTAGCTGAAACTAAAGTTTCATTCCATGCAATAAATAATATTGGAAAAATACTAAATCGGATTTTGATTATTTTCTGCTTATCACCATAATCCAAAGGTTCGTTTCCACTTAGTACTCAAAGTTAACACTATATATCGTAAATATATCCTACAATTAGTCAAATTAAATTTTGCTTTTTTCTCTTAATTTATTCTCCTTTTCTTCTACGAATGTTTGACGATCAGCTATTTATCATAACAGTAAATATGCTCGGCAATTTTTTTTCATATTTTTTTTATTTTCTCTAGTTTATTTTTATGTAGACCATAAAGTAGTAATAATAAATTTACTGTAAATGTTTTTTTGATTAAATAATAACAATTTAAATAAATCGGTAATATCACACCTTAATCATTTTTCTTTAAGTTTGTTTTTCTGTTTTTTGTTTTTGTTTTTATATCAATTTTGTTAAGTTTCTCGGTTAAGTTTTTTGGTTTTGGAATAATTCACTGAAGCAAATCAACTGTACATGTAAGTTTTAAGTTCATTAATAAGTAATGTCAAGAACTGAATTTGTTGAGTTGAGAATAGAAAATTTGAATATATTTCAATCGATCACAAAATTTAACCCTTGTAATTATATTTGACAAAGATAATATTTATAACCCTCTTTAGGAAGAAATGTTGTATATTTGGGGAAGTCCGCATGCTACAAAAGTATTTACACGCGGAACCAAAATATTTATTAGAAAAATTTTCATCTTAAATCTTCTTCAATTTTTTTATTTATTAATCTTAAATAATATACAAATTAATACTGATGGAATTGAATTGAGAACTGTTTGAACTATACCATTTTTATTATATTTAATAATTTTATTCGCATTTATGTATAATGCGCACGTTAATGATACTTAAACTAAACATACTAAATACTACCTAATTTATACTACACCTTTTGAAAATTTTAACCATCGAAAAATAATTTGGAAAAAGAAATTATGTGAAAACAGTCCAGATAAGAACACAATATAGCGTCATGAATTTTCATAAGTCACAAAAATTTCTTAATTATGAAAATTATAGTTAATGAGATAACAATTAATTTGCTTTCAAGATATGCATAGCTAGTATCGATTTCACTCTGACGAAACTTTGAGCAAACTATTTCTGAGCAATATAATAATAAACGATTAACCCATTTAACCTTGAAAAGATATGGTCTTGTACATCAATTTTTTTTCAGTGTCTACATTGAAATCTTTTTCAGAAGATTGCTATTCCTTATATTTTGCCCTGTATTTGTTATTTATTTTTCATTATTTTCGGAGTTGTTTCAAATGCATAAGAAGGAGTTACAGAGTGGGTATTCTTTACTTTTCGTTTTTTTTTATTTCTAGTATTTCATTTTTCTTTTTTTTTCTTTTCAACTTGAGATGTACAAAGATGGGAAAGAGAATCCGCACCCTAAATTCAAAAGTGACAGAAGAAAAAGAAAAGAAAAATTGATTTTAAAAATTGATTTTATATTTTAGTGTCTTGTCTATTTTTGGATTTATTACAGACATTGATATAGTTTTGTCTTCATTTATAAAGCAAACTGAATCATCAGCATTCTATAAAATATTTCAACAACAACAATAACAATAAAAATATAAAAAAATAAATTAAATAAAAAAGAAAACCGTGCATAAATTATTTTTTTATGATTTTTTATTTTTAATTGTTATGCAATTGATAAATTTTATTAGGAATTTTAAAGTGATATTGACATTAATTTGAATATGTATTAATTTAATAACATTGTAAAAAGTAATGGTGAGAATATTGAAATTTGAATTTTTTATAAAATCAATTTCGCTTAATAGAAGTTTATTTGTTACAAAGGTAAAAGTTAATTTTACTGATTGAAAATCGAATAAGATTTTTTAAAGTATAAATAAATCTTTTATGAAAGAGAAAATTAAATATCTCGAAAGATTTTAGTTATAAAATTTATTCTGACACATTATAGCAATAATTATATAAGTATATACAATATGTTAGTCAGTTAAAATTTTACTGTTATAATATGAATTAAAATTAAATATTGGCATTCATAGAGAAAGTGAAATGTTTTCACTTTTAATTCAACAAAAAAATCGAGATCAATATTAAGTTTTTAAAGTCCTTTATTAAGAATGGTGGGCAAGAGCAACAAATGTAGACTCATCATTAAAGCTATTTAAACGACCTACTAAAAAATTTTCCGAATTTTAAATGTTTACTCTAAATAATATATCAAATTATTTCTCCACTTTTGATATTTTTGCATACAGATTTTTATTTTAATTGTGGTCATAACTTTATTTTTATTTATAAAAGTATCCTTAAACTTACAAAAACTGAATTAAACCTGATAATATTAAAAATTATTAATTAGTTCATCATCTCCTATTAAGGTACTTCTTTTAAATTACGTATTTTATACAAAAAATATTTTTAGGCATTCTGCTACAGTTTTAAGGTGTGATTTAATTTCTTATGGTCTTGTTTTGTTAACCATATGGATTTATACTTTGATATTAATAGCAAGAGAATCTGTTAATAAAGTGCAGTTTTATTTGTTTTTTGTTTAAAAATTAAATTGAAAATTTTGATTAAATCAAAAAATTAATCACTTTAATACTAAAAACATCAAATTTTTCAAATTAATCTTAATGTAATATAAATATTGTGAATATTATTACTGTGAACAAAGTGTCAAAAACATATTCAGCAACACAATAAAATATGAAAAAAAATATAATTGTTATGACAGTTTAATTCATTTTAATTTTGAATAATAATGTGGGTGGTTATGTGAATTTTATTTGAAATATTTTTTATAAAACAATTACATGATTCATCATACTTACCTTTATTACCTTATAAATTAGAAAAAAAACCTTTATTTATTAAGTATATTATTTTAATAATAATTTATATTATATATTTTTTTTCTTGTTCAATAGATTTTTGATATTCAATTATAATCTTTAAATAGAATATAATTTTCATTATAATGCATTTTATTATTTAACATTTCATATGGTTTAATTGTATGTTACCACACATTCTGCAAAACTTAGATGAGGTTGACAGCACCTAAAGCAGAAATATTTTAGGTAAAGTTATCAAATTTACATATTTTGTTATTAAGACAAATTAATATGTGGGAAATTTTTATTAAATTTTCCATTTTTTTTTCTCATTCACCCCTCAGGTTAAATTTTAATAAATTATAGTATAAGATGGTATAGAATTATATATAATGTTGTTATTCATTTATGTATTTAATAACTATATAAAAAGATATTTCAATCACAACAAAGCCTTCCTTCTTGTCTGCCTTTTTGTTTCATTTTTCTAGATAAGTACTTTGTAAATGAATCAATTTTTAGAAATAAAAACCTGCATGGTAAATTGTAATATCAAGTAATTTATAACAAGAGTAAAATATGATAGAAACTCATTAATCATAATAATTTAAATAGCCATTCAATAAAAAATGTAATTGGAGTTTAATCTTATAACAGAGTTTTTAAAATATGACCAAGATAATAAAGACATGTCAATCTTTTGTAATTTTTGTTTTTATTTTCTTTTTAAATAAATGCCTTTCTGTTAATTGACCTGTTAAAAATTGAACATAAAAAAATGATTTTCTTTTAAAATATTGAAATCACCACCACTGTGAATATCATATTGTGCAATATTAATTAATAACAATAGCAACTAGTTATTGAATTTCTTTGTTATTATTCATAAAGTTAATAAAAGAAATGATCATGAATAGGAAATTATTTCTAGAATTATTTCATATACAATAACAATTAATTATTAAAATGTTATCAAGAAAATATTTTGTTAAAAAATAATAAATAAAATGCTTTTTATTTATTAAAGAGAAAATATTAATATCGCAATATCAAAATATAAGATTTGTATAGATTTCAGAACAAAAGATTTAAGCGGGAAACTCTTATGTTAATTTTAATTTATTACATTATTGTTGAATGAGTTGAATTATGTTTCATGGAATGAAGAATATTAATCTATTTTATTGTAATCTACATGTTAATTTTCCATATAGCTCACTCTTTGTTTATGGTTTTGTTAGTCAATTTAAAGAAGTTCAAATATCACATTCACACATTCTTTTTCAACAGAAATCTAATTTGTGTGTTATGATTTTATTTTAAAAATGTGCTATTTCTTTTGAAAATAAACTAAATGATTTATAATAATAATAATATGAACTTCAAACTCAACTCCATAAATCTCTTAGCAGAATATAACTCAAAATGAAAAAAACGTTATCACTACTTATTAGATTCAATGCAAAAAACAATATACATAAGATATATAGGTAAACAAACACTCTTATAACTCAAAGTTTTCACCTCAAAGTTTTCTGTTATTTTAATTTTGTTATATTTTTTTTCTTTTCATTATTATTTAACTGTCAGTTCCTAATTGAGTTATCATCATCAATATATCCTAATGCAAAATAATATCCTAATACATGCATAATACAACACAAAACATATAAAAATATATATTAAATTGAAGATCATTAAGACATCATATTGCAACATAAAAGAATTCAACAATATAACAAGAGAAGTATATAAATAATAACAATTGTTATACACATAGTTGTAGTACTGTGCCAGGTATCCTCACCACAACGTTATTTAATATTACAAAAACTTTTTCTTCAAAAAAACTATTTCGGAATTATGCTGGAAACTTGTTATTTTACATGTGTGTATGTATGCAAATGCAAATTTTGAAATCTACTGCAATATTATAATAAATTTAATATTTAAATATGTGTAGTAAAAAAAATGTTATATATTCATGTACAAAATCTTAAAAAAATAACATTTTACCCGTAATTTATATTCATTATAATCCAGAAAAAAAAGTGGAAAAAAAGAAAAGTGCTGACTAATTATTGTTTTGGAATAACAATATTATTTGCACATGTATGATTTTAAAGACATCATAACATTACACTCTAAAAAAATTTTAAATTATTTGGCTACAATAATTAGACGATTCTGATATCCATAACAATTCATGGTAATTATATTAACAAACTCGATCGATTGTTAAATAGAAAATCTCAAAACAGTTTCTCTTCGGGATTTATGAGGCTATGATTTAAATTTAATGATTTAAATCTATACTTAATTGATATATTACCTGTGTCATCAAGTTTAAAATTTACTGAGCCAATTCGAAACTTGCAATTCAATTTTTCACTATTTCCAGAGGTACAAAAACCAATTTCTTTAAAATTTTCATTTTTTTTCAAGATTACGTTAAGAAGTGTTTTTGATAATGTGGGGTATTCTAAACCAAAAACAATATAAATGAATTTAGTAAATGTTATCATTTTCGTATCACAAACTTGAAATCAGGTTTTCACAGAATCGAACAAAATCACTAGTTTCCATAAATTTTCCCAAATTTTACAAATTTGCTCTGCTTTAATGTAAATTCGACCGGGAATGAAGTACATTATAATTTCATTAACTAATCAACTAATTTTTATAGTGTACCTTGTTCATTTTATGCATTACTACACACTACCATTGTATTTTACATTAAAATTTGTCTAAATAACATATACATGTATATTACGCTTATTATAAAAACAAATTTCGTTTACTGTATGACTCAAATAGCGCATGAACGAAAAAATATTTTAGAGATCATCTTACAAAAAAAATAAGTTTCTATATTAGGTTACATAGCTAATATATTATCTTCCACTTGTGCACAAAACTACTTCACTATAAATTATGTAAAATAATTTTAATTTTAGTTAATTTATTTTTTTTTTTAATAGTTGCATATGTAATTACAGCAAAAAGTATATGGTTTTTTATATGTACAAGAAAAGCATTTGTTAAAAACTCTAGTACAGAATTTGAATAGCTTTAGTATTAAGGATGCGTGATTTTAAAAATTCACTTGAAAATTTGTTAAAAAAAAAAAACAAATTGCTTTTTGCCTTTTTCCTTTAATATTTTTCATGCAAATTATGTGAAAAAATTGTAGGAGTCATATTAAGTGAATATGAAAAAATAAAATCAACAGAATGGATGAATTATGCTAGATTTCATTTTCAACTTAAAACATTAGATTTCAATTTGAGTTTTTCTTTAATAAACAACTTACTTATATGCACGTATAGGTACTTGTAACCAAGCTACAGGCAAAAAAAAAAACTAAAAATGTTAAATTGAATAAATTTTTAAGTAAAACAATTTGTCTTGTTTTTTTTTACATTTTGTTAACTGATTGAATATCAGGATATATTTTTGAAAACTTCAAAAAGAGAATCTTAACTTAAAAAAGTTATTACGTTTTTTTCTTTAATTAAAATTAATTATTTACTGTATATAGGATTGACACTAACTTTCTTGGAGATTTATTCCGGCCATAATCATTCCAAGTTAGATCGTTGATAATTGATATAGTTGATGATGAAACAGAAAAAAAACTATAAGCTGATATGGATAACAATATTACAATATAAAAACCAAAAAAAAATCGAAGATATTTAAATATTAGCATTTTGCATACACAAATAGTGAGGTTAAACAAGACTGTAAGAGGTCATTTACATATTTTGTTTTATATAGTACATGAATACTAATTATACATGTATAGATATTGGGTATAGAGAATTTGAAAGATTATAAATTTTGTTAAATATTTGTAGTCAAATTATATTAATTTTCTTTTGATACTGAGTAAGATTTATTGTTCCCATCTCTCAAAAGAATACCAAAAAAATGGAATTCTAACTTGTGATCAGGTTAAAATTTCTTTGTGTCAATTTTTAATAATATCAATTATATATGAGTAATTTAATTTAATGATCGTTTACTAAATGTCCTGTAATAAATTATTTTTGCCGAAAAACCAAAGTTTTTAATGTTGATTTCAAGTATTACAATATATTTAATACTATTTTTAAAAATTTTGATAATTAAATATGTTTAGTACTAAATTAAATTTATATTTAAATCTAATCAAAATTAATATTAGTGAGGTTAACTCTATAAGGTTAATGCCTGTTAGAAGCAGTATACGTGAAATTAAGTGCATCAATAACAATTATTAATTAATAGAGAACTTTTTAAAACATCTGAAATTTAAATAAGTTATTTTAAATGTCATGCAGGGAGCTTACAAGTATTTAAATAACATTATTGAATTATGCAATATTTTTCAATTTGTAATAAATTTTACATTAAAATTTTTTGACTAAATCATTTCATAAAATTCGCTAATATAATGAAATAATCCAATTACTCATAAATAACACAGATAAAAATTCGGAATCGGTTCTATATTATATGTGTAACGTTATTCAACAATTTACGGTATTTTTAGGAAATCAAGTCGGTTACTTACTAATTTAATTTTCATTAAACTTAATTTTTTTATTTTCTCAGAGTAATTTAAAATTTATTTTCAAAATTTTTATATTTCTAGATTTCAAAAAAAAATATTTCAATAATTACATTTAAAATTTTCTAAAATTATATTATTTAATAAAATTTACAAATGTACTTAATTAAAATTTTTTAAATGAATTATTTTTGGGTTTTTATTTTGTACAAGGCCTGCATAAAATTGTATACTTGTAACAAATAAAATTCATTAGAATAAAAATGAAAAAATTTAATAACTTAATTATTTGAAATAATAAATCAATGGTATATAATTAAATTTTTTCTTGTAAATAAAAAATAACTTTTTGAAAAATCATACGGTAATAACATTTCAAAGAAGTAATCATAAGAAGTAAATGTTAATAATTGGATGTACATTGTAGGAATACAATGTATGCTTAAAAAAAAAACCAATCCCTGAAGATAATAAAAGAAGAACATTCAATGTTCCATCTTCGATCATTAATTTTTAATTTTTTTACTTATTTTTTATTTAATTTTTCCTTATTTTTGTTTTTCTAAGCATGCAAATAATTAAAAAAATGAAATCTCATTCGATTTTGTTCTTTAGATGTTTGCTTGTTTGCGTTAGTTGAATTCATAAAATTAATTTCGTACCATGTAGTTATATATGTAAATTTTTATTA